AATAAAACCTGAATTAAAACGCAGATGCCAAGCATGAATTTAAAGAGACTCTATAATCTTATATTGCCCATGTTTTGAACTCGAGAAAACAACATTGCAGGCAGATGCGGTCTTGTGATTTATTTATAGCTCTTTTATCCTTAAAGTATAACATATGCAATAAGACTTTTGAGAGACGAGTAACTTCATGCAAACTAAGTTGCCATGCAGAAACTAAACATAAAAACAGTGCCAAAATTAGTAGAAGCTTTATCTTTGAACTTCTCTGAGAAGGGCTCAAGACTACAACTTAAATCCAAAGATCAGCCACGAATATTTCAGGATATTTACAAAATCTCATTAACCTTTTAAACTAAGATATCATCCAACGCTAAACATAACGCTAAAGAAATTTCATGTCTACTTGAAATCTAATACAATTGCAAACTCAAAACTGATTTTCTCTTCCCTGAAGCTAGTTTCAGGTTTCAGATATACTCATCTCGAAGGGGGGAAAAATAAATGTGAGAGAGAAAATATAAGCTCTATCTTCCTCGTCTCTGGCTAGAGAATGTAAAATTTGACTAGAACTCAAGGTACAGAGTTACCCTTCTATGCATGTTAAATGGTAAATTTAATCTCCAATCCTTTTGTTTACGACTCAAAGGCCTCCCTTTGCTTGAAGGGTCTCTATTCTCTTTTACATCTGCCAACTTCCACACACAATTTTCTGACTCTTTTTCAGCAGATACTAGCAGGAACACTCCTTCCTTTTCTAAGCAACTGGACTCGGTATCTTCAGCATAGCAAACTCTCATAGGCATGTCTTTAAACCGATTCAGATCCTCAGGAACTTTAAGTATCCTCTCAGCACCTGGGGATGATACCTGTAGAACGAAAAATATGCTTTCTTAGGCATGGAAAAACCTCAAAGACATTGCTTCACTTTCAGTTGCCATGAATAAAATCCCAGTAGAACAGGCAATCAAATACAGCTTGGATGAATAACCTCGAGAGCTAAATTATCAGGTATTTGTCCAAGTGCTCCAGCTTCTTCTAATCTTTTCTTGTATTCTTGACTATAGCTTTCAAGCTCTTCCATGCTTGGACAACCATATCTGAAGAAATAAGGCAAGTTGCATTGAACAAACCGTACAGATTAGGCATCCAACAAAAGAGACAGGCATCATAAGCCCACAATTATATCATGTATCACTGAATGACACAATTTGCTGTCCTGCAACTCTAGGCAGAGGCCAAGCTATCCAACAAGCCATGAACCTATCATGAAAGACCTAAAAATTATAGCACTGTTTCTCACAACAGATACAAAATGCTCAGGGAATGATAAGTCAAACAATTTTTAGCATATGGTGGTCACATAGCGCAAATACCATGCATAAAGAGGCTAACTATGACAGTAAGTGGAATTTACAAGAACAATGGACGGAATTAAAAATGCGCCCATAGCAGAATCGGACAATCATCTCAAGCTGATGGAAACAGATTACTGGAGTTTTAAAGGTAACATGGAATGCTGTAAAGGATACTAAAGTGGGATCATTCCTCCCACCTCAATATCTAGTTTTTGGGAGGAGGTTCACCCTCCACTTCATGGATATTAAAAGGATGTTTCAATGGAACTGATGTCATCAACTAAGCTTTCTTAAGGTTATACAATTATGTTTGTTGCAAGAAAAAAGGTGAAAATTTTGTGACATCCTTGTCCCCAGCAAAAAACAAATAGTTACTTCTTGAAAAAACAATTTTAATTGAACATACTCTGCAAAGAAAAGGCCATATTCTGATCTTTAGGGAAAAAAATACAGAAATACACTTCCAGATATTTTATCTGGCATAGGTTGAAAACTTACTGATGTGTTAATTTGTCCAATCTCACGTAGACATATCCACGAGGAGTAGTCTTGAAAGAGAACAGTTCTATGTCATCACTGAACTTCATCAGGACCTCCTGAGCAATAGAGAGGGCTCGTTGGCCCCAAGGGACACCTTGCAAGTCAACTCCACCACCACCTCCCCCATCACCAGGCTTCATATAAAAACACTAATAGTTATGTAAAAATTTACTTGTAAATTTGAAATAAACATCTTATCATTGAAGAAACCAACAAGAATGTCTATGTTAATGTCATGTTACCCTAGGCTCAGCCTCATCTTCTTCCTCCCATCCATCTGACATTTCGTCGTCTTCGCCTGTCTCACCTGCGAATTGCCAAATGCATGAACATGGATATGTGAAACCTTTTATAGCGAGAGTTTAGCAGGATACTTCAATATACTTGAAAAGTAAACACCTAGTTATGACATCAAATCTCATGAAGTGACACAGAATAAATGCAAAAGCAGTAGCAACAGACATTAGTGTAAGTAGCAATTTCCCGGCCACATACTCCAGACTAATGCAGGAAAAGCCCAACTACTTTCATCCAATTCACCCACAAATCATACTGCACCCACGATACCCAAATGCAAAAGAAGAAGCAACTTGAACAAACTGCAAGGTAGAGCAAAAGAAGGGGGAGAGAGTTACGTTGTAATCTGTCTTCTTCATAGCTGGAGTCGTCGTCGTCATCCTCAGAGGAAGCGGCGGTGTTGACAAACCGAAGAGGAGTGCAGGAAAATGAGACCTGTGGAAGCAAACGCGTGTTTTGGAACGAAGGGAACTGAGAAGGAGGGATCAGAGAGATTCCCTTTGGCTTCAGAGACCAAAACGACGGAGCAAATGACAAAAGGGATCTCCGATTTCGCAACAGAGTCTGTATAATCCTAATATTTCTCATGGCTTTCTCGCCCCAGGCGATAGTGCGACTTTCTTCTCCCTTGTTCCTCACCTCCTCTCCGCCCAATGCAAATGCAATGCGGCGTAACACTTCACAGAACACTCTCAATTGCTCTTTTCTTTCCCTTTCTACTAATAGCTGTACTTCCCATTTTCGCACAAGTTTTTACACCTGACATGTAACAATCCTATTCAAAACCACGGTGGAGACTCACATGAGCGCACCTTTGTAAAAATCAAACCTTGATTTTTTACTGTGCTACTCCTCCGGTCCTTATTATAAGATCCCATTGACTTTTTATTTGGTCCTAATTATAAGACCCCAATCCATTTTGTCTCTTATATTATTATGCATTTTTTTCCAAGATAATCTTTCTAATAATGATATTTTAGCCAATATACTTATTAGCAAGAATATTTAGGAATGACAACCTATTTATTATAAATAACCAACTTAACTTATTTCCTAATCTCATCGCCTCATAGTCAATTGGGTCTTATAATTAGGACCAGAGGAGTATTTTTTTTTCCCGAACATTCACATCGTTTTTTTTTTTTGGGCCAGCCAACTCAAGGCATTGTTAGAAAAAATAAAAAAAAATTATAATTAGAATATTGAATTATTTTACTCCCTCAACTAGTTATGCTCTTGTTTTGATTCATAGGATAATTTTAAAATAAATGATTAAACAAGGATATTTTCCTTTGATAGAACTAATATACTTTTTTTTTATATAAATAACTAATTTTTTAAGTTTTTATAAATTAAAGTTTGGATGAATTGAATCTCAATGGCTCACCAAAACTAAACATGCATTTATTTTGAAACCTCTTAATAATTCTCCCTTATTTCTTTTGGACTTCTCGACTTCTCCCACTTGTTTCCGTGCTGCTCTTATGTCACTGCTCATAGTATTAATAACTAATTAATTAATTTTTAATACTTATAAATCAATTTTTAAACTCTTATACCTGCAATCAGAAATAATACTTTTTTATTTTTGAATTCTATTTAGGATTTGTTTGGAACTCTATTCAAAATAGACTTGTAAACAAATTCACATAAGCTGAAATAAAACTTTCTTCATATACTTACCTCGTATTTCATAAATTACATTTGAAAAATTACTTATAAATCAATCCAAATAAACCCTTAATGGTTAACACGGTGTACTTATCTATGCTTCTTCTCGTATCCTCAGGCAGGAAAAAACAAAAAGGAAGACGCTTCAAAAGATTTTAACAATTTTTTCGTGGGTTTTTATGCGAGATAAGATGATCATCACAATGCTGCCAATTATATTTAATTCACCTGATCGGATAATTAACTATAGCCCAAAACTATTGGTTCAAATGCATTTGAAATTGATTATTGGTACAAGAAAGGAGGTAATAGAGACTGCGCCAAAAGACACCTTCGGAACTAAAATCAATTTAAACAAAATTCTAGAGTTCCACGATAAAGCAAGGACCACCTTTAATTACTCTATCAACGTGCAGGCGCAGCTAATTGATTTGTTTTTCACTTTACAGTCAAATAGACGTAAGCAATTAAAATTAATTTTATATTTATGTAATATAATGTAGAATCATGATCCTAAACAACCTCTATCAAAATTAAATTCTCAACATTCAATAGTTAAAAAGAAAAAGCCCCTCATTTAAAGTGAAATATAGAAGTTGTATATTCTTTTTAAATAAAAATGGGATATACTCAATCAAGATAACATGCAAAAATAAGCCCCAAAAAAAAAAAAAACTAATAAGCTAGTTTCATCATTCATCATTCACCTCTCTAGTGAAAAGTAGGGGTCATCAAGATATAAGGATCATTCTCAATATTGTGAGCATTTCTGTAAACAAGATCAAGAGAATCATTCCTATTCGAATTTCTGTTGATAATGTTGGAGGCGCACTTAATAATGCCTTGGAAAAGGTAGGTGTCTCTGGTTATGAGGGTGATGGCTTCAAACTAATGAAACACTCAAAAAGTTGCACACGACGATCATTATATTTATTCTGATCCAAAAATGAGAATCCTGAATCTCAGTTACAGAAATGGAACATTTTCATGTCTTATGGGTAAATACCTTAAATTCATCAAGTATTGTTACGATGCATGAACTTGACCCTGGCCAGTCAATCTCAATCATATGATATCTAACTGAAACTTGGGTCAAACACATGAAACCTTTATTTATGAAGCTCAAAATTACTTACCTGTCAGCAAATGGTAGAAAAGCTCTTTCATCCAAGCAAAATAGAAGCAACTGCTGTGACTTGCGAGGTTCCTCGCTAAACGAGATTTATATACGGAGGAACACAATCTTAATACACTAATATACAAATATGTGACACAGCACAGCAAAATATAAGCAACTGCCATGACACATTATCTCACATTGTGAACCCCGCTTGTGCAAGAGCCACATTACTTACAACACATAAATGTCAAACCTTGCTGGACCCCGCCAAAAACCATATTTTTCTAGGGTTTACTTCAAATTTACATAGACCAGAGCCGAAAGACGAAGAAAAGAAGCAAAATTTTATATGGGAACAACCACCTACAAGCGAAGAATAGTACGAAGAGTATCACAGAGGTTCTGAATGGTCTGCTGCTCTTGGGATGCCTGAAGGTCCTGCAGCGGCATATCTTCATAACACCTAATAAGGAATGAATATCGATGTCAAAAGGGGTAATCACAAAGCGGATAGAAACAGAATCCAATATGGTACCCTTCTACAATTGGTCATAGATTAAATGAAGGGTCAGAATCCCCCATTGTTGGCATTTCTTGGGCCCCTCATTAACCAAGAAAGAGCTAAATGACAAACAGATACAAAAACGGAGGCACTATAATATGTGCTTTCTTGATGTAAGCATCAATAAATGAAGACCACGCAGGTGACGGATTTATTGCGTTTTCTTAATATTTCTTGATCCTTAATTTCTTGATCAGCAAATCCGATCTAAGGAGATGGAAGAGTGGCTAGCTGCTCAATTTTGAGAGTGTAGGAGAGAATCAAAAAGAATATAATCAAGAAGAATAAACATAAATAAATCAAAACAATAATATAAATTTTTAAGAAATAGGAGCAAATAACATAGCACTGAATTAAGAGATAATAATCAGATTATGACCCCATATGGGATAGCGTGTTAGGCCTACGTACGTCACCCACAATGCAAAATAGGTGGCTATTAATTCTGTCACATCAAGTGGCAGACTATTACTATGTGCAAGTTGGAGAAAAGAACATACATCTTGTGGTACGCTAGAGCCTGGGCCAAATTCAGCAGAGTAGAACTGGATGTCAGTCTTTGGTAAATGCTTGGAGGAACAGGCATCTGCTGCATGTTAATTAGAATACCAATATGAATGACTGTTTCAGACATGAGCATGCACAACCATGCTAACATGCAAGTACGTATGCGTGCGCACACACCTCAATTTGTCCTCTGCGTCCCCTTTTGGACTGTCCATCACCACTAAAAAGCTCTTGCAATGCTTCTACTGTAGCAGTTCCAGTGGAATCTTGTTGCATGCCACCAAGCACATTGTCCGATAGGAGAGCAATAGGTGAAATATCTGTTGCTCTCAAGAACGGAATGGGCACTGTATTACCAGCTGCATAAATTGACCAAAGCTGCAAATGGCAAAAAGTTTAACAGGATATCTCTCTGTAGACTGGAGTAACAAGAGACGAATATAAGAGACCCATAAGAATAGGGGAAGATAACACAGTTGTACTAGACATTTGCCAAGCCATCGCCGAGGGACATTGTCATTCTTATTATTCTTCTATTAAATGGAAGATTTGTCCTAGACTCTTTGGGATAGAACTACAGGACTTGCCTTAGTTTACATTATATAGTCCTGCCATGTAATGATAAAAAGTACTTTTGCAAAAAATATATATAAAAAATAAAAAGTAAAAAACAAAATAGTGGTTGAAAATTGTGAAAGCTTACTTGAATGGTGAGCTATACCAACAATAAGCGTTATGTTACAAGTATAACACCCAAATCTATGGCACTCTTCTACACGCAGGAGGAGAATGTTATGTTCCATCATTAATATGTAAATACAGAATTACCTTATCCTGTAAAGCAAATGCTTTTCTGCTGACTGTTTCATTCTTCAGAGTACCGTTCCTTCTATCACTGCTGACTCCCACTGTTGCTTGAAAATCACCTCTTATTTGGTGTTTCAGCTCAGCAGAGTCATTAACAGGAGATAAAGATGATTTTATGGTATTAGTATGAGCACCCAAACCCCCAACAGAGGCATCACTTGAGACAGCAACTTTTAGACTCTCCGCTCTAACAAATTATCCAGAGTAATAATAAGGCACCATTCAGGAAACTTCAACGAAAAATGAATAGAATGGGAGGAAGGGGTAAAGACAAAATGGCAAGGTAAAAGATGTAAATATAAGTTCTGCATATCTTAATAAAGGTTAAGAATGATAGCGGCAACTTTCTTGACATGATACACAAACTTTTCACAATATGGCCTGTCTTTCTTTACCATGCATAAAATATCAACCATTTCAACTTCTTTTTCTTTTGTTTGGGGGAGGGGGATGCCTAGAATATCAGCAATTAAGAGAAAAGTACCGAGAATCAGCCAATCTGCCTCTTGTTCCACTAATTGAGGAAGCAGAGGAATCTGCATTATCTGCTCCCTGTGGCCTGACTGCTGCTGTATCAATCTCATCTCCATGGACTACTACAGTGCCAAAGTTACCTGTTAAAACAATCGGCGATATCACTTAATTCAAACACATGATGAAATTTGCCAGCAAAACTTGAAATCCACATCCATTTCTGCCTCTCTTGTCGTACTTATGCATCCTTGGAGACATTGGGATATAATCAACTTTCAAAGAATTGCAGTTCATGCTACAACTAAGAGCAAGAACAAACACAAACCTTCACTCAGTTCCACACTTTCCAACCTATTCAGCGTCCTCAGAGTTCCATCTGAAGAAAGACCACCTGCCCCTTGAACACCAACGTTAAGAGGTCTTGATGGAACAGTGTCCCCATAGTCATCATTCAGTTTTTGCTCGTTACACTGTTTCAGAGCAAGGGCATGAATCACATATAAAATGCCTTTCTTTTTTGCATTTTCCCCTCAGAGAAGGAAGATGTAATAAATGAGTTTATGTGCCTGTGCACGAGTATCAGAAAGAGGCTGACAAAACTCTAGTCATACCTGATCTTCTAATGCAGCCGGAGCAACAGTTTGTGCTTGCAAAGCCATCGATTTCCTGATTTGCCTAGCCTTTTCAATTTTTGGCATCATTGCCGTTGATCCAGTTTTCCATTTGTCAAAGAATTTGTGCTAGGACATTGAAAAAACTCGAACTCAATCATAGTGCAACAATCAAACAAAATATGCAAACGTGACAGCATAAACCTATTGATTTAAGAATGAATAAAGGCATTCTTTAGAAGTTAGGAACTTCAAATAGCCATCCTTTATATGCAGTTGCCAGCTCATGCCTGCTCAGGCATCAGAGGAAGAAAGTACCAGAGGAGAAAACTTATTTCGTAAGTGAATTTATCAAAGGAAAACTATGTAACTCATGTATATGAGTAGTCTGAAATCACAAGAAAATCATTGCCTTGACTTGCACCAGGGGAAAAGAATTCATTTTGTGGCATAACTTGACAGAAAAGCTTCAGTCAAAGAATTAATTGAAAACATATCATTTATAAGAAACAACTATTAGGTATAATTAGGCAGTTATCTTCTGATAATACTGCCAACTAAAAATTGTCAACTGTTTATTAAAGGAGAGGTAAGCTGATATATAATCATAAATAGTGGGATTAGGAGCGGTATTACTAAGTCTATGAGCCACAGGGATTTATTAAACAAAGGCTTACTAAGTCCATAAGGCCTCAAAGGTAGTTTAGGCAATTAGCTTAGGATTAGTTAGTAATGCATTACACGGTTAATTGCACAGGCTGACTCTTATATATAGGACTCGGATAGCCTAATGTTGTTGTTGATGAATGATTCATGAGTAATATTCAGCAGAGTATTTCTCTCTCTCGACTCTGTTCTTTCTCTCTCTCATCTCCAAACTCCTATTCTCTCTCTGTTTCTTTCCCTTCTCCCTAATACTCTTCTACAGCCGTGTATCATAAGTTAAAAAGTGAGAAAGACACCATAAGGACATGACATATGTAGTGAGGATAAAGATGATGGGAGTAAAACTATAAGGATTAAAGGCTAATTCTTTGTATGATCATGAAAAGGAGTGGAAATCATTTTCATTTCATTCATTAAATCCCATTATCAACAACACATTGCCTCATATATACCAAAAATATATTTCACAACTTTACTGAGCACAACAAATTGAAAATTTAAAACTCTAATGCCTGTCAGGCTTTTGTTGGATGAAGCAAGAAACCTCATTGAAGATAAAAGTGGGGTACGAAGGAGGGGCTTAATACATGTTGTCCTCATCAAAACAAGGGGAACAAAAAAGTCATCGACGCAATGAAGCCTCCAATCCCTCTCCACCTTCCATGTTACCTCATCTTCCCTAGAATTCAAAGCTCACACAAGGAATGAACGTCATCTCCTCTTATTTTCCTGTCTAATTCTCCTTCCTAATTCCTTTTAACTTGCCGGCACAGCTCTGAATAGTTTATGTCATCTAACCAGCAGCCAATTTCATGTAATATTCAGATTTTATATCAGAATCAACATTACTCAGCATACCTTTAACATCTCTGATGCAGTAGGTCGTAAACGAGGTTCCTTAGTAAGGCACTTAGCCACAAAGTCGTGAAAATGTAGAGACCTACAAAAGGAAACCATCAAATTTGTACGTCTTCATAATATTAATTTTAACATAGATGAATCAGACCAAACACAACTGAAAATCAGGAGGTACACTATTTTTTTCGATATGGGTTAAACAGATTTGGTTCCGGGTTAAATGGTCCGGGCCACAAAAAGAACATTTTTATTTGGGTCAATTTTTTAAACCACCAAGAATGGCACAAACATTGATTCCTCCATGGAACGGCAATTAAGGATACTGATAGAATTTCTCGAACCTAGGGAAAAGGACTGATCACGGAAATTCTAATCCAGATTCAAGACTGCTGTTAAGTCAAATTCTCCCATTAAAACAATGCACAAAACCATAAAATTCAAAGCCCACAAAACAAGTGTTTGTGGGGATTAAGGAGACTATCAAACTCAAAATAGCAAGCTAAATTTTCATCAACCAACATGATACCAGGTAACCAACTAACTGCCACTTTAATCTCATGGCTTTATATAGCAACAAAGAGTTGGATTTAAAGACAAACCATTTTTCTTTATCCTCAAGCATTGGTGCCGGTTCAATGGATATCATGAACAAAACCTATAAAAAGGAACGAAGTATCTCAGATACTTCACAAATACCATAAAAAATGGACATATAAGATAGCTTTCAAGATGACTAATTTGAGCACCACAGAGCTGAAATATTAGTGTAATGATGATTCAATAGCAAACTCAAAGCCATGTTTCTTGCACCATGTATCAAAGGTACAAGGCAGCTAAATTTTTTGCAGTTTAAGTAGGAAAGTAACCATGAAACTAGTACATGAAAAACTTGAATGGTGCCAGTAATAAAAAATAATCATAGCAGAACAGGACAAAAAAAAAGGGCAGGTATAACGATTCTATTGACACTTGACAAGGAAAACCAAATCACAAAAATTGCTTGTACCGTAATTCTAAAGAAAATTTGCTTTTCAAGGAAGCAATTCTTACAAAAGCTCAAGTGTCACATCTAAGGATAATAAACAAACTACTGTTAATAAAATTTACATCAACAACCAACAACAATAGCAACTAGCAAGTACAGGCTTCAGTATTAACCAAGTAGAAGCAATTACATGGATCCTGTAATACATTCTAGCTAACCCTTAATCCGTCAGTTGTTACTCCTATTCACCTCACACTTGCTCTACCTTTTCTTCCTCTCCAATATTTTCCCCAGTTCATAGCTATTACAGTTCAAGGGATGAAATCACCATAACTTCAACAAATTGAAACATATATTATAGTTAAATATCATAAATAAGGGGGGAAAACTGAACAGGGTGCAGCACACGCATATATAAGTAAAAGCGTATATTTCCTCAGTTGAAAACTAACCCTCATTGGATGGACAGCTGATCTTGGAGGAAGGCCCTGAAAATTACAGTAAAAGATTTTATCCAAAGAAGTATAAGTATCATAAAACTCTTCCACCTAGAATAAACATTAAGAATAATAGCTAACATAAAACTGCCAACAAATTAAATGGGCTAATGTCATGCATAACACTATATGGGAAATCATTCAAGCAAACAAAAATATCTTACTTGTTAACGAAGACAAGCGTATGAACTTTCCTCTAAGAAGGAATTTCGGCACAACGGGATGTATAATATGCAAAGATGATATTGGGCACTTGATATTCAGGAAAAAAATTTGCTAAAAAGGAAACCTATTATTATGTTTACCTAAGAAGCACTACCCATGATGGACAAATTAAATTGCAAACATCCTATAGAGCAACAAGTAATCCACGTTTGGTTCAAGTAACAGTATGACAGGACTGCCGAAATTAAAAGCACAAGTAATAGGAATACCTCTGCCATTTCAATTGCAGACACACCAAGAGCCCACACGTCTACCTGAATAAACAAATATATAAAATACAGTACTTTGTGGAATGTTTTATATTGTCAATCAGTTTTAAAAAAAAAGAACTTAAAGTCCACCCATCTATAACCACTATTACACTGTAAACGGATATAAGCACGAATTAGAAGATCAGTAATGCTTTAGCCATTGTAATAAAAAAATTAAAGTAACCTCATTTAGAACTTGACTAGATAGATATAACAGGCCAAGTTTATATCATTTCTAAATCAAATTAGTATTCCCAAGTAACAGAAATTTATTAATAAAAAATTCAACGGTTCTAGACTCTAGTGATCCGCCAATGTGATGAATTTAGATCTCCATTTTTCTCGATCAGTCCTATATTTGACTTACTGAAATAGCCGAATACTTATGCATGCGCTGTCAAAAACCTCGATGCTTTCACATCCAATGCAGCATCAAATTTCTTATTTTAACCAGTTCTTGTACCTTTCAAACGCACTATTCTGTACTTTCCCTATATTCCAAACTCTATATCAGCATATTCGTGTTTGCAGATATAACTATATTTTGCATATATTCTAATGGAAAAAATCATCAACTTATAAAAGAGATAGTTTCAAGTTTCAAATAATGACATTCACAAACAGTGATGAATTGTTCTGTATGAAGTTAGCTGTTATTTACAATCACTCGCATAAAAATATTCACTTTCTGCTTCTGATAATCAAATCAAAACCACTGATGCACCTATAATCATTGAAAGTCAGCAGCGTCGAAGTATCTCAGTCTAACTTATTTTATTCACCGATGTCTAGTGTTTATATAGACATAACTGAGGTAACAAACCTGCCTCCTAACTAAAATAATAATCTAGGTTGAATCTATCTATATCCTTGAAAGGATAGAATGAAATAAATTGAAAACAAATCTTACTTAATAAAGATAACTTAAGAGATAAAATATTAATAAACAGAATAATAAATAAACAATAAAACTACCGGAGACTGCATGCTGTTCAACAATAACGCCATGACATCTATTTGTTCATCATCATGTGTTCAAAGGGTTAAAAATGCAAAACTAGTATTTCTTTTTAGAGATCCGTGAGGTAGCAGAGAAAAAGATTCAAGATTATGAAAGAAGAAAAGGAAGATACAGACAAGTGAAGAGGGGAAATTAGATTGAGGTACCTTTCCGTCATAGCGACTTTCCTGAATAACTTCTGGAGCCATCCAATGAGGCGTTCCAATGAACTATAAACCCATTAAAAAGAATACTTCAAATCTCCGTTCATGCTAAGAAAATAAATAATAATTAACCGTATGTTATGGGGTGTTTGGGTTCCAACCCAAACCATGCAAACCACCCTTAAAAAATCACCAAACCACCATGGTTTTGAGTCAAAACCATGGTTTTGGCTCCAAAACCATGGTTTTGGAAAAAGCAAAAAAATTTTACTTTTGGAAAAAAAAAGGAGAGTGTGAGAGCCTATAGGATATGTATCTTGTTGTTTTTTTTATAAACATATTTTTTTATAAATATTTTTAATCTTATATCTTATAAATATATATACATATTAATTATTTATTAATTATATTATCTTATGTATTATTAATTATGTTAATAAAAAATATATATTAACAATTTTATTCCTTCAAATTAAAATATATCATAAAATATATTTTTTCTGTAATTATCATATTAACTTGTGCATTTTTTAGTAATTTGTACATGTAAAAAGTGCTTCTAGTAACAACTATCCAAACACTCTCACTTCTCAAAATCACTTTTTCACAAAATCCATTCTTCAAAAAATCTATTCTCCAGGAGCTATTCTTCAAACCATGGTTTGGTTATATCCAAACACCCCCTGAAATCACATTGCCTTAACAAAAGCCACACGCCATAATTATTCACAGGGAGCAAATACTATATAACAAGTGCATATCACTTGCAAGCAGCAAATAGTCATGCTGACAAGGAAAAATCAAGGTAAATTACGAAAAAAATTGTGGCAATCACATCACTATTACGACTAATTGTACAAACAAATCAGAAATACATGACCAAAAGACTGGCTGAATATGTCAGAACCGATAAATCTACCTGTAGCCTCAGCCAATTCCTGTTAATGATATTGCTGGCAGAGATGCCACACATCACGTTAATTTGAATCATCTCAGTTAGTGATAATAAAGAAACGTTCATGAGAATTCACTTAGTAGCTTAAATTCCATGCTTTGATACATCCATTACAATTTCAATTATATACATCAAACACTGTACATACCTATTTTGATTAACATATTTAATATATTTATTGTAATTTTATGGTGTTTTCTGTGCAACCCCATTAAGGGAAAAAGTTCGATAATAGGCATCAACCTGCATTCTACAACCACCCTCTTAATCAAAATTGAGATTCAGCACAGGTTTAGCCAGTACATGGTTTGTAAACACTTCACAGCCAAAGGACATCCACATGATGGCCATTTTTGAGATATTACAGGAGTATTACTGAGCATTCACTCATCAGCATAAGCTTTCTTGAATCCAGAAACCCATCACAATACCATTTGATAAGCATAACAGATAGGAATGAAAATGAAAAGGAAGATGATATAGATGAGACAGACAAAAGAGATGTTGTAAATTATCCCTTGGGTAAAAGAACTAATAAAAACTGTGAAGTAGTCATAACAAAATACAAACTATATATCTCCTTTTGAGTGCTATAGAAAGAGAGTTCATTTCCACCACTCTAACCAAACGGAAGAGTTTAGAGATGCAATATGGCAGTAGCAACACACTCAACTTCAGTATGCAAAATTAAAAAAATAAAATAAAATAAATGCCCATGTGCGTTCTTAACAGAAATAATAGGTTCGCAAATTAAATACCGTGTTTCGCTTTGACATGGTCCTCGTAAGCTGTGCAGCAACACCAAAATCCCCTGCTCACATCGTCAAAGAGCTTTTCTTAAACAGCCAGTTGATTGAAGTCAAAGAATTCTAATGCATTAGATATAGATTTCCATTTCAGTTAACATAGATAGAAAATAGGAGCAAAGAAGGAAAGGGGAGAAAAGCACCACAAAGTCCGTGCACTATTTTTCACCCAATTCTTTCTTACAATCTCTTCCAAGATTTCTAATCATTACCACGAATAATTACTAAAGTCTGTGCAGGAGTAAATAATACGCAGGCATGCAAGAGTGACTAAGAAAAATTCCATGCCAATCCAGCAAGATCTTTCACTAGTTTCTAGAAGAGTCCAACTAAAGATAATTTTTTCACTGAGGTACTTATATTTTGTTAAGAAAATATTTGCATAGGAGTCACTCACTCACTCATTCACTGATAACACAAGGGCCTCTGCTCGCTAGAGGTATCTTAAAGGAACACTTCAAAAAAAAAATATATATGGCAATTGTTTCTAGCGGCCCATCTCACATTAGAAACAATATTATGGCTCAATATAAATATTCAATAATAATGAATAGCCTAAAGTTTAAGCTTATCGAATGTGCAATCTACTAAAGTGCAATAAAACAATAATATCAGCAACAAAATAATAGGATTAAATGAGGATCATTAAATAAGCTCGAGAATTCAGAAGATCTTACACACAATTCACATAGCAAAATTTACCTAGCTTGACATCTCCTTGTTCAGTTAATAAGATATTCCCACCTTTAATGTCCCTATGGACTTTGAAAATGGAGTGCAAATACTCAAGTCCCTACGCAGAGTTAAGGAAATAAACAGCAAAAATGGAATAAGTAGAAAATAAACCAAGAAAACAATTGACACACATAATACACTTGGTGCCCAGAGCCTATGTTTCAGCACTTCGTTTTACAGATCTTAAGCACAGGCATCAAATTCAAATCAAGCATACTTCAGGGTAGCAGAGGTTAAAGGGCAAATCAATAAGCGGTCTATAATTGATAAATGCAAATTCAACCTGCTCAATCTAGAATACCTTCAATGCTTCTCTACAGATGTACGCTATCTGACCCTCATCCAGTGGCTCCTCAGTTACATTCATCAGGTCAGCAACACTACCACCGCCACAGTATTCCATAACTATCTGCCAAAAATATGAAAAGCCCTCATTTAACAAGCATATGCAGGCACACCATTACCCATGAAATTTTAACCTTTAAAGAGCTTCACTCTAGTTCAACAAATGAATGGAAAACTAAGGTTAGAGAGGGGAAATGCTTCTATTTTCCTCCTTTTCGTTTAATGTCTTCTTACCCAAAGATACTCTTCTCCCTGATAGCTTCCAAGGTAGCGGACCACGTTTGGATGATTACATTGCTGCAACATCTCAATTTCACCTCGGATTTCTTCGTATCCCTCCTCCTAAGCACAGGAAGCATTTTTGTTTGTTTACAAAGTTTAAACTCACTCTACTTATATACACGGTTAGAGGAAAAGCAGGGAATAGAAAAGAGAAACTTACCCCTTCAGAGAGGGAAATGACTTTGATAGCGACAAGCTCGGAGGTTTTTAAATCCCTAGCTTTGTAAACAGACCCGTAAGATCCCTTCCCTGACATTTTCCGGGGAAAGACCAATTTTAGGAACAAACAAAAAAATATTACTAAGCGATCAAGAATAGACTTTCTTCCCAGGAAACGCTACAATTAACCTACAATTTCACTTACGATCGCATGAAAGAAATTCAAGAAGGTCATTGTTGAAATGTGCATGGAGAAACAAGAAACAGGATAAATGGAAGTATAAGGACAAGCGAATGTAAAAATTCAAATAAATAAGAGGATGCAGGCAAAGATACTGGGAATGAATTAAAATTGCTACCCACCAAGTTCATTGAGTAATTCGTACTTAGTTGTCGGATCCTCTCTAGTGACGCTTTCCGGAATCGAACTCGATGAAACCTTCGTACCTATTGACTGCCTACCCTCGTCGTTCTGCAAGGACCCACTTCCCCTCCTCTGTTTCCCATAACCCAGCTCACCCGATGCCTGCATACTCGCCACCGCTCTTTCCATTGTCGAGCTAGTAGCAGTTCCACCACCACCAGCACCGCCACTTGTCCTACGCACCACGGTTCCACTGACCGACTCTCTCTCACTGGACCTAGCCGTTTTACGTACGACAAAAGTTGAAAACCCCTCGTCACCGTCATCATCTTCATCATTCTCATCACCCAGTCCCGCCATTGGACCTGCCTGCGTCAAAGGAGACTTCCGAGACTTCCAGGTCGAACCCATGGGCGACGAAGAAGACCGATTTCGCTCCCGAGCTCGATCAGTCTTGACGATCATGGTGCCAAAATCGCCGGCATCGTCGTCAGGATCGTCTTCGTCGTCCAACGGAGCTCCACCGCCGAAGTCCTTTGGCAGGCGCTTGAGAAGAGGAGGGAGGGAGGGGTCGTCGTCATCTTCGTCTTCAGGGCCATTGTCCCTGTAGACCATCGTTGCAAATGGATCGTCCTCGGGTTCCGAGCTTCTGGCATTCTGTCTGCTCCGGCTTTGCTCTCGCTTATCGTAGCTGTTGCCGCCGTTGTCGTCGTCGTCATCGTCGTGCACGACGACGGTGGAATACAGCTCAGACTTGGGTCTGGCTTTCCGGGTTCGGGCAGAGAAAGTGCCCTGATCCATTTCACAGCAATGCACAGCGAATGAAACAGTTGGCCACAGCTGGAGTTCGCACTGAGTTATAACGTACCCGGAGAACCAGACGGGGGATTTTTTTCCTTTTGGACCAGAACTAGAGCGGATTATAATTAGTTAGAATTAGAAAGTAGAATAAAAAAGTATACTTAATAAAATAAATATGAATTTCCATTTGATTAATACAATTTTTATCTATCAAGTTTCAGGCCTTTTAAGTTTAAAATCATAAATTTTGATTCCTCAAATTTTATTTTATTTAAAATATTGATCTCTGTACTTTGGTAAAAGCTGAAACCATTTTACTTTTTTAGAGACTTAAACTTATAATTTAAAAATTAAAAAAACTAGAATCAAAGTTCGTACTAGATTAAGGATCAAAGATTATATATTAACCCTTCTTATTTTCATTTTCAAAGCTGACAGTAATTACTAAAGCGGCGTTGTATTCGCTTTTTGAAGAATATTTGAGAATCCAAGACAACTTTTAAATGTCTCTTATATATGGAAACATACCATAAACATCAAGTGTCTCTTATAATAAGAAACGGAAGGATTAATGTTTAAGAAAAAAATCACAAAAAAAAAACTTTAGAAATTAAAAAATTATATATAGAAACCTGCTCATAAAAATTATTTTCAAAACTACTAATATTGTAACAGGTTTTTATTTTCAATTTTTCCATTCCACGGTTTTTTTTTTTTACAGTTTTCTTAATATTTAATACTTAATGCCTTCTTAATAAAAAAAGTAACCTGATTAGCTAATTTGAGTAGATTAAAGATATTAATTAAATTAATTAATATAATATATTTTTTCTAAAATATCCTAAATATTTTCTTTAATTCCTTTCCTCTTTTCCCCATTTGATTATTATTAGGAGAATATAAATAGATTTAATTTTAAAAAAAATTAATAAATATATAAAATAAGTCTTATTAATTCCTCAATTGGGTACAATTTGATAAGACAGTGTATACATGTGTGTGTGTGTTTACTTTTACTGTCTTTTTAGGATTCATTTAAATTGGCGATAGAAAAAGTAGTTTATTTTTAATCTGACTTTTAAAAAAATAAAATTAAGTAAAAGTTAAATTGGATAAACTAAATTATGTTTAGATTGGAATTTAGAAAAGTTAGTTTGTAAAAATAAGATTGGTAAAAAGTTGTTTGGATTATTATGATTGAGTAAAAGTAAGTTAGGTTGTAAAATGACTAAAAAGGGTATGAGTTTTATAAATAATGAACATGATTAAAAAATAATTTTACATAATATAATAAATTCAAGATGATTTAATATGAAGAAGTGAAATTTAATGAGTGAATTAAATCTTAAAACTTCGGAGAAATCAAAAAAATATTTTAAATATCAAGTGAAATATGAAAAAATAGTTAACAGGTGAGAGATCTGGGGGGGAAAAAAGCAAGTGAATAACATGAGGGAATAATGCCAGAGGGAAGAGAAAAATAAATTCTCTGACACACAATTAAGCTCTTCAATCTTGAAAAATAAGCTCCTCTTACTGGCTTATTCCCACCGCACGGTTAGTGGGGCTTATTTTCAATAAGTCAAAAGCCATCCCCAACATTGCAAAAATTTTCAATCGGGTTTCTCTTAAAATTAAGTCATGTTTGGATGCCGATCCAAACAAGCACTTATTCTTAGCCTTTGCCTTAATCCTCAAGCGATCGTTGCTGTTCTGATATCGTTCTATTATTGTGCCTGTACTCTTTCCAATTGTAAATATATGAATCAATTGAGTAGTTTTCTTTACTTCTATATAACATTTCTATTCGCTCTATTTCCAAAATTTATAATTTTTTTCTATATCATTCTAGTTAATTGCATGCATTAAAAAGACTTCATTAATAGGAGTGCTGATTGAATTTAACAAATTTTTGTTATAAATAACTAATCCAACTAATTTTCTTAATACTTATAATTAGTTGTCTATTAGGCCTAATATTCCATATTAGTTATAATTCATTAATTCTCTCACCTCTAGCCTCTGGGCAAGCTTTTCCCTCTCCTCAATGTTAATGCTTTTTTCTCATCCTTTGTTTATTTTTCTGTGCTGATAGGCTTTTAGAGGTAGTGTGTTTTGCTTCTCTAACAATAAACAAATATGTGACCAATGGGGGGTTGGATCTAGCAGAAAGAACTAGTCTCCCATAACGTGGTGAACCAAGGTTCGAATCCCTGTTAGGAGATGTGCCTATATTTAGTGCCTGACAGTGATACTTATGCTTTAGCAAAAAAAAAAGCAAATACGTGGGATTTTACCAACAAGAGTTGGGTTTAGCGAAAGAGACTAGTCCCTCATAACGTGGTGAATTAAGATTCAAATCTCTATTGAGAGAAATGTCCACATTTAGTGCCTGACAATATCTCGAATAGGATTACTTCCAATAGGAATATACCTATGTTTTAGCCAAAAAAAAATGTATATATGTGGGATTTTGCTTGTGGCATCTTTTGCTTTGATATCATTTGGACGTTGTTAGATCAAATCCTGACCCGATATATAGTTTGGTTTTGCAGTTTTGGGGGAAGGGTCCATCTTTGTTGTCATAAGTTCCATCTCTTAATTAGACGATGGTTTTTGGTCCTATTCAGCAAATTCAAAACGTGAATGAAGGGTATATGTATCCCCAAGCAATGTTGCTCAGCTGATGGATAACAATTAATTCTCTTCCTTCTCCGTTGTCGTTTGTTGGGCAGCGTCTGATTGTCCGTGGGTGCTTTTTCTTCCGCAGGTTCTTTCATGTTTGCTTGTCAACAACCATTCTTGGTTGCTCTTTAACCCACAGGAGGTGTGATTTTTCCAAATCCCCATCTCTTGTTGCGTGTTTAGAACTATTTCCGGTAGCGTGAAGAATTTGGAGGCAAGAGGAGGCGTTTGGCTTTCTAAATTTTTCCTCTCCTCTCTTTCTAGCCCTTCTCTCCAAAATTAGGGGAATGTGGATAGGAGTAATATTTGGTTTTAGCACCTACTGGCTTACCTATAACTATTTTTAATATCCCAAAAATACCCCCCTTTTCTCATCATCTTCACACGCTCCGAAACGGCACAGCAGCGAAACAATTTTTTTATAGCAAGAACTAGAGAATTTCAATGGTCATAATTAATTTTTTAATAATTATAATTATCCTCATATATATATGGTGAGTGTACTTATAATATATATAAAAATGTAAATATAATTATAATCATTGTATCTATTGGCTGTTGAGTATGTATTACAATTATATTTATTCATTTTTATAATTATAAAATTATAATGGTATATATAAATGTTATTTATAGTTATATTTTATTAAATATTTCAGAAAAACAATTTAAATAAATTAGAATGAATTTGTTCATGTCAAAATGTTTTCTTGCTCTTCCTCTTCTAAACTAAACAAGCTATCATTAAAATTTCTCTTTTTCCATTCCTTCTCATCAATCCAAGCAAGATAATTTTAAAATTCCTTTCCTTCTTTTTTTCTTGTCGAGCCAAACAGACCAACTCGAGGGTGGCTGCTTTCTTACTCTTGTTGTTAGGGTTAGGGTTTATGTTTCTCGAATTGTTAATTTGTTGGCCTTTTTTGATTGGGCAGCTTGTTAGACTTTGTACTGTTCCAATGAATGAGTATGCCAGAGGTCTTGCCCCCTTGGTTCAGAAATAGAGCCCTTCATGTAACATTTGTTTTAACTAATTTAAATGTTCTCAAAAAATTAGTTACATTAATTATTTGTAAAAAAAATGTATTCAAATTACCTTCTTAAATCATTTATATTGAAACTACTCATTGATGCAAATTCTTTTACCATGTGCAATCAATAGAGGTTTAGGAAAAAATGATAAGTATGGAAGACAGAATAAATTGAAGTTTTATATTTAAGACCAAATTCAATTTCTCAACTAATTTTTATATTAAAGACTGAAAGTAGTATAAGAGTTAAATAACTAATTTATATATGTTACAAAAATTAATTACATGAGTTATTTATTAAAAAAATGTGCATTGAATTTTTAGAAATACTCTCATCTACTGATTTGGCATCGGAAATTATCTTCATGGATGGAAACTTCCTATGCTATCAATAGAGACAATTTGTCAAGAAATTATAAATTTAAAAGATAAAATAGATTAAAATCTTACATTTAGGGCTTGTTTGGGTAATATAAGAAACCATGGTTTTGGGACCCAAACCATGATTTGCCAAACCGGGGGGGTTAACAAATCACAGTTTTGGACCCAAAATCATAGTTTTAGAAGAAGTGAATCTATTCTGTTTCTGGCTCAAATTGGAGAGTATGATTGTGCCCGTCAGAGTAGATCTCAATGATAATATGACTTTAATACCTCTCAATTATTTTTTTTATAAACATATTTAATCTTATATTTTATAAATATATATACACATATTAATTATTTATTAATTACATTATCTTATATTATTAATTATGTTGATAAAAAATATATTATTAACAATTTTATTCCTTCAAATTAAAATATATTATAAAATCTATTTTTTATGTAATTATCATATTAACTTATGCTTTTTTTAGTAATTTGTACATATAAAAAGTGCTACTGATAACAATTATCCAAATACTCTCACTTTATCAGAATTATTTTTTCATAACATTTATTCTTTATAAAATCTATTCTTCTAAGAATCTATTCTCCAGAAACTATTCTTTCAACCATAGTTTGGTTTCATCCAAACACCCCCTTAAACATAGTCTCAGATCACTTCATATATTTATTGGAGAAGAGGGAGTATTGCTTTTCCTCCAATAGATTAGAGGCATGGGTTTGAACCAGAACTTTATTTAAAAGGGAAAAAAAAAAGGAAAAAGAAAAACTCTCAATTATGATAGCTAGGCCAGGACTCACAAAATAAGGCCTACATGCTAAAAGAGCTTATACATATTCACTACATGCAAATAATTTTGTACAGATCCATTCATATGACAAGTTATTTTAGGCAGAGACTGAACCTAGTTCACAATTCTTAAGAAAGTCTTTTTATTTTTTTTTTGCCGTGAACTAAACATACTTAACAATTCTGCATTACTAATCCCTTAGAATTAATCAGAATCATCTTCTTATTCTCTCAGCAGCCTCAAAAGTTGACTACTTGGAGTTGCTTCTGGCTCTGATCCGAATGTTCTTCACCTTTCTCTCCCATCTGCAAAAGCTTCTTCTCATCATCAATATCAAGTGGTGAAGCTTCAACTGCTCTAACTTCAAGAACCTTCAAACAAGCCTTCATCCACACATGCAAAGCACTTCCCAGACTAACCCAAGATATGGCTTTACCAATCTCGGAATCATAAGCATTCCCAGAAAACCCCCAGCTCAAGAGCATCACATTCCCATTATAGAAATACACACACAACATCTCCATAACCTGGACAAATATTTGTTTCCCAGAAACTGGTGCGAGCATAGGGTGTTCAAATAGGTCAGTTTTCTCAAACTTTGACAGAACTGGCCAGTACTGAGAAAGCTTCTTGTTCTGCATAGCCCATTCATGGAGCTTGTGAAGAAGCTTCATGATGACCCAGTGGACCAACCCAATGAAAATGTTGAGGAGACAACTTTTGAGAAATTCTAGGTTGAAATCTAGGACTGTGTCAGAATACCAGTCTATGGAGCCTCTGGTGATACCCCAGTAGGCCAGGGAAGGAAGGCCAACCCCTACACAAAGCCCCAGATGGGCATGAATCTCAAGAGCAAATTTGAAGTATAAACTGATAGGAAGTGAGAGACCCCATGACCATGGCTCTTGTGTGAAAGCATTGGAGAAAGAAGAAGAGCCTTGGTTGAGGAAAACTAGGATGGCAATGTGCAGAAACTGTAAGAGTTTGTCAAAGTCGCTGTTTTTGGTCGGCATTGGAAAGTGTGAGGAAACCATAAAGGGAATTCAGTGTGTTTCTGTCTTTCTGATATCTATGGAGGATGAATGAGTTGTGGAATTTGTTCTACTGAAAATCAAGGATCAATATGTATATATATAGATAGACATATAGATATATATTATGGAAGTTAAGAAACTTCCCAGAAATTTCCCCAATTTGAACTCAGTGAAACATAAACACTGAAGTAAGTGATATATCCTGCAGATTTATTCATCTTTATTATGTTCTTCAAGTTTTTTCCCCTTTGTAGTGTACGTGTGTTGGAAACTTCAAGGATATGTCTGAGAGTTAAGTAATTGGATAAGTTTAGGGAAGCTTCTGAGGTAGAAAACAAAATGAAACACTTGTTGTCTTTGCCGAAATTGTTAATAACCAATTTATGTGCTTCCATTATTGTTGGGAACATAAGTAAAATAAGTTAAGTAGGTTCTAAGATGAATGTTTTCAACTTTCCGTACGGATTCGGGGAAAGTTAGTGGTGCATGCAAGTTTTTTTTTAAAAATCTTTTAACAGGAGTTTGGGATCTACTGACCCTAACTAGTGGGATAAGTGGAAATTTTTAGTTAACAATCTATCTAAAGATTTGGAGATAATTAATTTAAAATTTTAAATAAATTAGTTAATTTAATTATTTGTCATAAATATATGATATTCTCTCTAAAATTATCCTCTTTAGTCATGTATATTAAAAAATTGAAATTATTCATTGGTAAACCCCTTATGATCAATAGGGATATTTTGGGAGGAAAAAAAATGAAAGATAAAATATATGAGATCATATATTTAGAACCAAATTCAATTTCTAACTAGCGAGATAAAGTATATGAGATCAGATATTTAGAATCAAATTCAACTCCTAACTAGTTTTTATATTAAAGATTGGAGGTAGTATATACTTTAAAATAATGCATACAATTAAAAAAAAAATACCTTGGGAGCAATGCATCTTTACCCTTTTATTTATTGTAGTTACCGAGCGAAAACTGAATTGAGTAGGTGTATCCCGAAGATAGATTTACCGAGTAAATGAGAATGTAACAAGAATAAACTGTTGATCCCATTTCACCCAATCCTCTTTCATTCAGGGTGTGTTTGTGATCCCTCAAAAATATTTAAAAAAAATACTCATGTCGAGATAAAGCTTTCTACAAATGCTTATCTCAAAGTCCGTAAAATCACTTCTGAAAAACTAATTCAAACACCCCCAGTAAAAAAGGAAAAGGAACATTAACTTGGAACCAACAAGAGCTTCAGAAGAGGGGATTATCTGTGCAAGCACATGTGTGACCAAATGATAATTCTTTTATATAAAAATATTTAAATAAATTGGGTTTGGAAGACTCATCAGGTTAAATATACTTTGGCCGAAACAAAAATTTCACCATTCCAACAATTGAATAGAGGTGGGCCCACGACAGGCTGGTATTGTAAAATGGGAGCCCATTTTATGGCAAGTCTTTTCAACCCACTTAACTTTTAGTGGGCTGACCCACTTTTTTTTAATATATAATTTTTTTACTCTAATTAATGAAAATACTTCATTTAAGCACCTTTTTATATTAAAAACTTGATTTTACAAATTATTTTTATTTTTTATTGATTTATTATATTTATAGTGATAGAATAATTATGTAAAATAAAATGGGTTATATTTGCAAGTTTTGGAGTTGATTCAATTATATATACCGAAATTGAGCATGCTGAAAGCCCGCACTTCTTTTTTCTTTTTAACATTTTCAAATAATTTCTTAACTTTCAGATTAAATTCAAATTGTTTTTATATTTTCATTTTTTTGTGAATATTAAAATTAAATTGAAATTGTCTTTATATTCTCAAGCCCAAAGGCTAGTTAAATTGTGATGAGCTATTTATTAGTGATCAATTCTTTTTTAGTATAAGCGGCAATTGACCTGGTTAAAATATCTCAAACTGCAACATTTCAATGTTAATCCTCTATACAGAAATTTTTTAAATTGAACAGTAGTTCTTACATAATTCAACATAACAGTTCTTTAAAAGGCAGTTATTTAACATCATAGAAGCATTGGATTATATTAACAGATATTTAAAACATGTTTATGAAAGAATGAGTTGCAAAATCCCAAATTAAGTATTTTCACAAAATTGCGTTATTATTTGTAATTTAATTGTTATCAAAATCTATTAAAGTGTTATCACAAATCCTGATTTAGAATTTTGCAATTTTTATGATCTTTTTTAGCCATTCTCCCCATGTTTATCACTATAATTGTGTGTGAAAATATTTCATGCAAAGAATCTCAAAGCCTTGCAGATTTTAGATATTTCTCAAGTGAATGAGTCGAGTGATTCAAGAATTCTGTAAGCATTGAACAATTTTTGCTTACTAAATATGCATCCGAAGACTATACCTCGCAATGATCATCCCCAATTTTAAATCCTTGAGAAGGAAGAAGTCAAGAGCAAACTAACAGAGATATCTGCCAACATATAAAAATCAAAAACAAATATGCCTTTGAAAGTTAAATCTTTGCTTCTCAGACAGATAGTTTGTAACAGACATCTTGAGCACTTGAAATATAGCATCCCTAATTTTGAACCCATCTGAAGAAATTAGAGCAAGATAACATAAAATATCTGCCAACAGATGAAAGTCAAAGGCAAATATGCACCAGGTCAAAATATTGCTTCTGACAAACAGTTCTGTAATAGATATCTAGTGCATTTAAAATAGTGTCCCTAATTTTGAACCATAAGAAGAAATTAGAGCAAGATAACCATTAAAAAAAAAAAAATCTGCCAACAGGGAAAAAGCAATAGCAAATATTCAGTTAAAAGTTAAGATATTGCTTCTGACAGAAAATTCAGTATTAGACATTTTGTGCATTTAGAATATAGTATTGATTGAAATCTCCCAGCAACCATAACCTATATTACATCAATACATATGTTCCACATTGTTTCCAAGGTTTGAATTCGAAAAGAAGGCATTCTCCATGCAAAGGCTGCACAAATAAGATGTCATTTTCCTTCACCAGGCCCTCCAAACAGATAGCCCAAAGAAGAGCCGCCACCAGGTGCAGCATGGACTTTGGTTGAGGGTCGGTCCTGCAGCAGAAATGCGGAAAGAAACTTACCACCAATCACAACATTATTTTAGAGGGAAAAAGATTCAAATTCCAACCACGTGGAAGACAAACTGAAGCAGATCTCCATTTTCTTGGCATAGGAATGATTATTTTTGTTTCCTCAAATTTTGTGCAACATTACAACCAACGGTATTGACCAATTTCCTTAAAATGCCACCAACTTAGAACTCACCAAGAAAAAAAAAATCTATGTGACTATGATGTCACTGGATTGTACGAAAAGCATACAGAAAATGTAACAGAATCTGAAGTAAACATGCATTTGAGTAGTCAGATGTCTCCAAAATAACCTTTTTAGTGTCCATAAAGTGGAATTAGCGCTGTCCATGACATTGTAAACCACTTCTGACATAAATTCATAACATTGACACTTACATTAGGAAGGAAGCAAACAAATTTAAGCACAAATAATACCGTGATGAAGTTGCCAGTGTTCTGGCCATCGGCAGAGTTACTATGAATTCCAGCAGGAATCTGCTTGGTCACATCTACTGGTTGAGGTTTTGAAGGAGGCTTAATTACAGGTGCTTCAGCTTGAGCGTCACTTCTTGCTGGTTTTGGAGCCTCCCCATCGCCAAAAAGATAGCCCAATGAACTTTGTCCGCCACCACTGCTAACTCCACGACCCATACTCTTAAACTGCTTTTGGAGGTCCAAAAATTGCCCAAGAAAATATTAATAAATATAGTAAATAAGACAAAGGATTTTTTTTTTTTTGGGGGGGGGGGGGGAGGGGGTTTCAAGAAACTGAGATTCTCGAACAAATTTCCATGAAAACATCCGTCACTTTTAGTGCATGTCAAGTGCATAGAGCATGAATCAAATGTATCTGTATACAGATAAGCACGTGGTTTTACACTTTCGTCAAACAGAAGGGATCCAAACCATGATTGGCAACTCAGTAATAAGCCACAGATAACTTAATCAAGATGCAATGTTGCATGCAATTAACTTGACCTCCAGACTATCTCGTCACTACTATCTTTCGCAACGTAGTTTGTTACATTTAGTGACCGTGAAATATTTCAAAATCATAGAGTGGAAGTTGGAAAAAACAATGGGCGATTCCTTGTCTTCCATGGCAATACAAATTACAAAGCAACGTTAAATCCAAAATTTGGTTTGCAGATCGACATAAAAAGGCAATAAAGCCAGGTAAAGTATGCATTTCCTTCATCATTTAAATCCCTTCATCTCATAAACATGCTTTCAGTAGCCTCAATCTGAAAATAATCCCCCACCATAAATCAAGCAATCACATATACGGCTTAAGAAGACAATGGCATAACACCCCTTAAGAATATCAACTAATTCCACATAAGATTAAATGTTTTTCACCCACTTAACATACAAAAACCCATAAATCAATCTAAATGCAAAGATACAGCCAGCAGAAAGCAAAGCAAGATAATGAAAGACGCTACAGTGCCACTACCCACTAAACAAAGAACATGCGAAAGTAATTAAAATGTCCGCAGGGATCCACATAAAAAAAACGTAAAAGCACCTTGCAGATCACGGAAACAAGGAGAGTTTCGTCAAAATTAAACCAAACAGAAACAAATAAGTAGAAGAAAACACTGGAATCAGTGACAGAACACGATTTGAGCCCAACATCCAAGGATTAGAAGCTTGATTGAAGCACAGATCTGAGAATCGGAAAAAGAGTGAAGAGATTGGAGAGGTTACCGGCGGTGGAATCAGATCTGGAGGGAAGCAAGAGAAGCACAAAAGCACAGAGAGCGACACAGTGAACTGAAATGCGTACGTTATAAATAGGTGGTCTCAGCGACTATATACTTAAAATAATAATAATAGAAAGACGGCAAAAAAAAAAAAGAAGAATAAAAAGAATAAAACCTAAACATGCTTGTTTAATTACTTACTGAAAATTCATAATAACCTTTTCCATATATATATATATATATATTATTTTCTCTTTATTGAACCGGAACGAATGAAAAAAGTGTTTATTATTCTTAGTTTTTAAATAAGTTTTTAAAATAAAATATTTTTAGTGTAAATTTCAGATAACATTTCTTGTTTCATATAATGTTTAAAACTATAAAAATAAAAAACATCAAAATTGAAATTATGGTTGTCATGGATTTATATAAATTATTATCTCTCAAACTGATTTTATTTTTCCATTTTTGTCATTTTTAGAAATGTCGACTATTTAAGACATGAGGATGACAATATTAAATGCAAATGTTTAACTATAAAAGCCCAAAACAACTAAATTAAATACAATTATATAAAATTTTCCTTCAAATACTTATATTCATTGCATAATATTATTATAATCTCTATCAAGAATTATCTTTTAATTAAAATAATTTTTATTGACAAATGATCAGTGTTGAATTAATAATTAAGTTAACTGCATGCTTAGAAACAAAATTAATAAAATGTATTCATATCTACAAGTTATATGGATTTTTTTTTTAAGTGACAGTAAGTTATGGATTTAGTTATCACTTAATTTTCTTTTAGTTGAGCGGGCTACTTTAGACAATGACATCTTATGATGCATGATAAAATTGTGATCTTAATGATTGAACTATATAAAATTATCCTATTGACATCTTTTTTTTTTTGAACATTGACATTTCTAAATAAGATAATCATAATTAGGTGCAACTTCCTCATTTTCAACTTTTATTTTGAGTACCATGCCACGGACAGAACTGATAAAGAATCAGAAATTGTTCCCAATGATCAACTACTTCGTTTTTTAATATAAAAACTGATAGACTAATTTGAGTAGATTAAAAAAAATAGTTAAATTAGTTATTTGTAATAAATATGTGTTATCTTTCTTAAAATATCCTTTGATAATTAAGTGTATTTGTAGAATTATCATTATTACAAAAGCTATCTTAGGAAAAAATGGATAAATATGATAGATAAAGTGAATTGAAGTCTTATATTTAAAACCAAAATAAAAGTCAAACGAGTTCTTACATTAAGGACTGAAGGTAATATAATTATAGGATAAAATTTATTCATTATCACCCAAAAAAAAAATTATTATGCTCCCAATGATATAATCGTCGATCTCTTTGCATTTATGTATAATACGTAATCTGTTTAGGAAAAAAACTACACAAACTTGATTAACAATTAAATAAGACTACAAGGACCTACAAATTCATTTTTGTTATATACCAAATTTTATCTAATAAAACAGTCCTTTCATTTGCATACACCAAACATGTTGTATTTGTTTGTTTTATTTTAAATATTAAGGGAAAAAATATTCATTTTGTACAAATTATTGAACGTTTAAGTTGAGACAAACTCAATAATTTGCACTAATTTCATTTTGTATTACAATAACAGTTGAGGGACAATTATCTCCACCTAATATGAGCGCTTGAGGAAACAGGAGAGAGATAGAATATTAATTAAGCTCATATTTTAATATCATAATCGTACTTTAGTGATAACAATAATATATTATTTTAGTGTATCTGTGTCTTAACACATTTGATAAACATAGAAATATAATGTGATTTATTTTTTCAGTTTGTTTCCCTTTATGATAAAGACAGCATATCTAAGTATAAAATTAAACATATAAGATACCTTTCTGAACGTTTTGGCTAAGATAATCCAAAGAGGACAAGATTTTGATTCTCTAATAAGGCCAAAAAAAAAAACATAATAATTGTTCGATCATAGCTATCAACTCAGTTAAAAAGAGTATTTTTTTTAATTCTTCAAATTAATCATGATTGACATTAGTTTTTAAATATTTTCTCATAAAATAAAAAAATTTAATTTAATTCAAATTTTAAAAAATGAAAATAGAATGCAATAGAAGGTGTACAGAGGTTAAGATTTAAAAAAAAAAGGAAAATCGGTAATTAATTATTTCATGTTTGATCTCTATCTCATTTCATCTTTCACAAACATATCTATATCTATATTTTTTTTAAAAATAATGCAGGACATTTTGATTTCTCTTTATAATTTACTATTATTGATTGAAATCTCAAAATTTTAAGGTGCTTATTTTAATGTTAACATTTAAACTTAAATTTCAACAAGTCTTGCACCAAAATCAATATTTTTTTAACTATACAAAATTATATATATAACGACTATATCAATTATATAATTATATTGTATTGATATAATGAGGATATTGAGGCCACTTTAAAAAAGAGAGGCCATGATTAAAAGCAACAAATATTATGGTCTTCTTTGGTAATAATTGTACTCCTCCGGTCCTTAATATATGATCTAATTGTTGATTGGTTTTAATTCTAAATATAAGATCTATTTTTATATTTATCAATTTTCTCTAAATTACCCCTATAGATACCTCTTCAATCATAATCAAGTAGAAGAGGAAAGAGAGGTATTAAGAGAGATGATTATGGCATTTTAAGAAAAATGTGTCACATTTCTTATAATTAACTAACTTACCTACCTTCTTTAATCTAATCAAATTAATTAAAAGGGTTTTATATTAAGGATGAGGATTATTTAACATATATGCCCACGTTGGAAGGCAAAGCAAAGAAAGCAAACTGACAGAATATATTCTACAATCTACATTCGTTTCCCTGGCTCTTAACTTCTTGTCGGATATATAGTTTTTCTTTTAATTTTTTTTGGGTCAACTTGTGGGATATAAATACACACACATATAGTTAAAATAGAATAAGGTAAACGCATTTACAGAATATATGCTATCTTCACCAAAGACGTGAGAAATCAAAGAAAAATTAAAACCTCAGGAAAACTCAGAGAGACTAGCTTAATTAATATAAAATAATATTTTGTGTCTTTAATATAAAAGTTAAATAATTAATTTGGTAATATTAAGAAAATTAGTTAAATTAGTTATTTGTAGCAATTAGATTTTCTAAACTACCATGTTTAATCATGTGATGTATTAGAAATATCTCTTGGTTGGAACTACTTCCAAATCAATATGGATATTTTGAAAAAGAATTTTAAATTTGAGAGACAAAATAAATTGAAATATTATATTTAAAGCCAAATATAACCTCTAACTAATTTTTATATTAATCACTACAGGGAATGTAAGCTTAATGCACATAGCCTTCATGAACTACATGTCATATACAAGTAACCATTTCTGAAATTTTACAATGTAATCCTCTGAACTCCACATTTATAGATGAGTTTTTATGATTAGGTTTGTTCATTATTATATGCACACATTTAACTATAACATCAAAAAGAGTTACATTAAATAAAAATAGGAAAAATCATTCTACTGGCACACACATATTTTCTCTTAATTTTTAATTTGATACTTATGTGTTTTTTTAATCTTAATCAAAATCTTTAATTTTGTTCATTAGCCTCCATTAGTCCTTGTAAATTGCTATGTTAACATAAGTACCTTCAAAATGATTTTTCCAATAAAAATATTAATTTGTAATTAAATAAAACATTTATACACGAGTCACATAAGAAGACCAAGTTATTAAAACGCAATTGTTATTATTCTTTAATTCAAAAGAAAATTTCCAGTTTAAGAAGAGAACAAAATAAAATTCAATTCACTCAACCTATTCAAAGCGGATAAGCACTGTTCACTAATTTTATATAAGAATTCCAAATCTCAGCAATTATTGTTTCCAGATGGACAGTGAGGCCTTTAAGAATTCCAATGGAACTGTTTCTGAGCTTATTCTGAAGAGACTATGAGATTTGACAGAGAACTTGAACTCAGGATCTTACTTAATTAAAAAGAAAATTTAAGAAAAAAGATTTGTTTAATCAAAACATATGAAATATTATAATATTATTAAATTAAGAAGCGACATAATTTGTTGTTGGCAAGAGATTATATTTATATGGAAAGTGGTAAACATTCCATGTGGGGGGCACCTGTTTGAAAATGAGACAGCATCATCACACTTTACAAGGATTGGCCTTGTTAGCTGCCTTCTTCCCCAAGTTTTCAGTTTATGTCTTGTTATCATCAAAAGATAAGGTATGTGGTACAACCTATAATAAAGAGTCATGCACATCCACCCACACACAACTTGTTCATGATAAAAAATATTTTAACTTTGGGGCTAGTGGGGGATTCTATATATCCTATATATATATATATGTATATTTAAAAATAATACCCCATTAAACAAGGGGTGTTTGGTTTTAGTGGGAGAGGTTTTGATTGTTTATTCATGATGTTTTGAATTCAAGTTTTTGTAACTGAAGAAAATATCTTTGAGAGAGCAATTCTCAGTTAGATTCAACAATACTCCAATATAACTCAATTAAATAGTCATATATATTTTTTCTATCCTAAATATAAAGGCTGGTTGTAGAGTTTATTTTGTTTACCTTAATTATAAGACTTTAATATACTTTGTCTCTTAAGTTTATGATTTACCCTAAATAATTCACCCTAAACTCTTCTTATTAATGGCACATATTAAAGGAGCATTCCATGAGGTCTATACATAAAAAAAATAGAGTAAAATACATTGGTTAGCCCTTTATTTGCATAAATTATAGAAATCTCCATAATTTTCAAAATGCATATAAAACTTTTTTTGAAATTAAAATATATGTTATACAAACCACCTTTACATGTTTAAGATTTATTTTTACTAATCCACAGCTAGTTGACTGTTAAGTTTGACTTCTAAACTTTATTTTGACCAAAAATCCCTCATTAACATTAATATTTTTGAACATTTATATCTATAAAAAATAATTTTGATACAACAAAAATAATATAATACACATATTTTCAAACTTTTTAATAT